TGGGGGGGGGTTATTTAAACTCATTACGTGGTGAAAAGGCCTTCGCTAGAACAGCTTTGAACCTGAAGTAGTTTTACTGCAACAATGGAGAGGTTTTTTATTCTCTCTCTCTTTTCTCTGAGTCGTCCCACACATCAGACACTAAGAAGTACATCACATACAGTACGTACACCTTCATATACGTATATACTATACAGTATACACAGTAGGGGTGTTTACAGTGGTACAGTTTTTTACATATATTAACCCTTTACGAACCTCGTCGACGATCTCGTCTCGGTAAACAAAGCTACCAGCGATCGTTCGCAGATGCCCTTATCTCAACTTCAAAACGACAATCCACATTTTTAAAGCCAAAACTTTCGTATGTTTAATCATTTTAAAATGTTTTTTAGTTTATTTTTTTGCTATATTTCACAAGATCGGATTAAAAAAAAATTCTGCGATCTACTGAGGGAGTGAAAGAAAAACCGTGATATAGAGGGAACATTCTATTGGTAAGAATCTGGCGATACGACACAGATCACAGTACAGGGGCAACAATACGATTTATTGCGATATATCGTGATACTTAAGGTTTAAATAATTTAATTTGTAGAGACACAACGCTGTTCCATCTTAACGTCAGGTTACTAACATTGGAACAGAGGGTCACAGCGTCACAGCGTTTCTTTTTCCTACCTGACGGGGCTTCCTGTGGAGTCCGGGTCTCTGGCAGTGACGGAGCCGATGACGGTGTTGATGGGTGCGTTCTCATTCACCTCCAGCATGTACCTGGGCCTGGAGAAGACCGGGGGCTCGTCGGCATCTTCAACCACAACCTTTACCGTGGCCGTGTCCTTGAAGGGGGCGCTGTTCGGCTCAAAGCGGATGTTGGTGGCCTCCACCTTCAGGGTGTAGGCTCGTCTGCTCTCGTAGTCCAGCGGCTGCGTGAGATGAAAGGAGAAGAAACGACAAGTTCAGCAGTGACACTAATAAGATGTTGTACATCAAAGGTGCCCAAGTCGAGGCTCGCAGGTCAGAGTTGGCACCTGCGTGTCGTTTGAAGTGGAACACGAGAGAATCCTAAAGCTGGGGATCACGCACTGAACGACGCTGTCTGATGAAGGATCACAGACTACAGGAGTGGTCCAGGTTTCTGAGGACAAGTGAAGGCATCAAAGTCTGACCTTTGACCTCTGTGCATGTTAGTAATGTTAATATAGTTGTCGTAGTGACTGAATACGTTCTCCTCCTCCGTCAGTCTGATGATGTCACTTCCTGCTGCTGCTTTCATTAAAAACATATTTTTTTACCACTGGTCCCAAACAAGCCGCTAAAAAGATGAAAGGACTCATTTGGATGAAGAAAAGTTTGACTTGTTGACGTTTAACAAGTTGTGGTTTGATCTGCTGCTCTCCGACTGACAAATGGCTTTAATTACATTTTTATTTTGTCAGTTGGTTATCAGATTTTTTTGAACGATTTTTGTCGTTAATATTTGCAGAACATTTGTCTCCGCTTCTCCGAGGACGTGACGACACGACGTCAACATTGCAGTCAGGCATCAGCTCTGCTACCACTGGTATAATGGGATTAAGTTGACACCACACTCCATAACCAGGGTTTATATGGAAATGGAAACAGGTCCCTGCTGCCCCGGTGGAGGGGAGGTGGGACTGGTCGGGGCAGAGAGGGTGACAGTAAGAGGTGAGGGTGAGAGGAGCGGGACACAACAAGAAATGAATTCATTCGAAGAGCAGGAAAATTTGTCCTTCAGGTGAGACAGAATTTAAGACCAGAGGGGGTCAGCTGGAGGGGGCTTCAGGAGTCTTGCACTGAGAACCAGAGCAGGTGGAGGTGGAGGAGATGCTTTGACTTTCACTACTGCACATGAGGACACTGGAAGCCCCTCCAATCCCATTCCTCCATGCTTGAAGAAGCTATTTGAAAACCCTATAATTACTCCCCCCCCGCCCACCCCACCCACTTCCTGTCCCCTCTCCCTCTCCCTCCCACCGCACCGCACCGCTCCTCCTTGGTACTCCTGACACGGCCCCACTCTGCTCTCCACCTCTGGTTCTCTCCAGGACAGCTCTGTCTGTGCATGTGTAACACAGACTGTGGCAGAGCCCTGACTCGTCTGAATACACTTTAACTCAGAAGAAAGCCCAGAGATTCAGCCTCAGGTCACGGTCGGACTGTCACACACTCTGAATAGAATATACACTGGGTCAAGTGTGAAGTAATGGATGTGACGTTGGGATGTAACTGAAAAAAATCCCAACTATATCATATTTAATCCAAAGTTTCTTTGAATTTAAAATAAGCTTCTGGTTGACGACTGACGACATCCAGGTGAAGTTCGAGAAAAAGAATGTTTATTTACTGTTTCTCTGAACATCTGTCTAATACATTCAACTATTACTATTTCATTCAAGTGTTTTAGCTCAGAACCCTGGTGTCTGTACCAGGACTGTTGTAGCTAACGTTAGCTCTAGTTCATTTATCTCTGGAAAAATGAATTGAACCAATGGACCTCAGAAGGATGATAAATGTGATTTTTTTTGTCTTAATTTTTTTTAATTTTTTAATTTTTAATTCTTACTATGCATTTAATTATTAGAACATGTATTCAGAATGTTTTAACCATATGGTACAACTAGCCAAATTATGAACATATGTTTATAATATTTAGAAACACCACAGCACCAATTTCAATCCATACATATTCTAAATGTACAACACATGCTAGCACCCCCCCCCGCTCACCCTCCGCCTGCTGCTGCTGCGGCTGCTGCTGCTGCTGCTGCTGCTGCTGCTGCTGTGACCAGTGACTTGTAACCATTGTTGGATTTGCAATGATAAAAAGCAGCAGAGCTAACTGCCGATGTAGCTGGCTGAGTGTTGTTGAATTTCTGAAGAGAGCCGTGTTTACACTCACTGACAGAGACAGTCCTCTCCCCCTCTGTCATGTCCCACACCTCACCCCCACTGTGTCCTTTGTCTCCCTCTCTCTAATCGTACCATCTAATCCGTATGTACACAGGCCATTTAGAGACTTCAAAGTTCAGCGCCGGCTGCAGGGGTGAAAGCTCAGCATCCTGCTGACGTCCCCTGACAGGCCTGAGGGCTGCCAGATAAAAAGGCTTTCAGACTCCGGCAGCAGAAACATCTCTGCTCAGGTCTGTGAATCTCCAGGCTCACAGACATCAATATGTTTTTCACCAACGCTTTTAGGTTCATTTATGACACCGTGCTAAACACGCAGGGTTTGTACGACTCTCGGCGGAAATAGATGCTTTTGAGGACGAGTTGATCCGAAATCCTTGGCTCTGGTTCTAGTTTATTATCGAAGAAATCATCTGAACAACTGTTGCTTCAACGTATCGTTGCCGGAATCGCAGTCGTGTGTAGACACAAACACGCAAACACGTTCATTGCTGCCCTGGCAACACATTATCATCTCCCCTGCATTAGTGATGGAGACAGCAGATCAGGGCAACTCAAAGGCAACTGTGTTGCTGTGAGGATGGAGGGAGAAGTGGGGAGGAGGGGTTGCCTCATAGATTGAAACACATTTGACATTTATGATGTCAACAGTTGGAGGTTTTCATGACTTTCTGTCTGGTTTGTTCTCCATCACTGATGTGTTCTCCAGTCTTGGCAGATTGCCTTGATTCTCACACGTTCTTCCTCCCACGTCCTTCATTGTTCACACTTTGACAAAGGAGCAGCGAAGGTCCTTGGAGTGATGTCGTTTTACATCACAACACCGCAGCGTTTGCCTGCATGGGCGATGCCACGCTGTTTCTGTACAGACTCTGAACCAGAACCAGGTGACGAACCTACTGGTCACGTTTATGGTAAAGCTGTCGTACATTAATGTAAACTACAGAATAGCAACACCCGCCAGGAAAAACTGTCATTTCTGCAGGACAGAATAGCAACACCCGCCAGGAAAAACGGTCATTTCTGCAGGAGTTTGATGGTCTCAGAACTTTACGACTAAGTCTTTTGCTCAAATCCTTAAAGACTTGAAGTCACAGCTTGGTTCCAGACCTGGTTTATCATCATCATATTTGTGTTTCCGTGGCTCTTGACTTCACTCCAAATGTATTTCCAAGAGAAAATGTCTGAAAATATTTGCCTCAGATCCGTTTTTCCAAAGAGCCGAGAGCCAGGTTTACCTGTTTTATGAGCAACGTAGCATGTTTCTTAGCGTCGCTGTTTATTCTGACGGGTCACGTCAGCAGCTGACGTGAACAAACCTGATGCTACATCTGAGTAAACTGTTCAAAGGTGTGTATGTAACAGCGTTATGGCTCCAGGATTCTTCAGGAAGGTCGAAGACAAAAACATGTCGATGAACAGATTTAACTAAAACCTTCTTAGGAGGACGATTCCCAACAGCTGCACTGAAGAATTTGTGGTGAAAAAACAAACAACCACTGCATTTTACTGCTGGCAGTTTATAAACGTGTAATTTTTTAAACTTTTAATCGAATCCAACTGTGGCAACACTTCCTGATATTAGTGATAATTAAACATAATAATAATAATACACTTCCTGATATTAGTGATAATTAAAAATAATTTAAAAAAAGGACATTAGCATTTTACTTTAAGCTAAGCTTGTTTAGCATTAGGATGTAGCTTTATAAAAATAAAACCCTGTGTATTTTAAAATATGTGACTCTGACCAACTGTTCATTTTATTGGAGAAAACAAATCAAGATCTACACTATATCATATAGCTATATATGATATATTGCTGTTTAGCAGATGACACAGTGATATATTTTTGGGACCAGCCAGTCGAACTCAGACGTAATATCTGTCCCAGATTTTACAACCAGAACCTGGTCACCCTGCGTGATCGTAAAGACAAACGCTCTCAGCTCTGATAAAAACTCCTTTTTTGAGCTGAAATCCAATAAAAGTAAATGTAGTGCAGAAATGTTATGATTTTTTCACTTTCATAAATTTTGCAAATAACAAAACAAAGACTTTGGATATGTAGCTCCTCAGTCATTTAATATTTAATGTTATATGTTAGCAGAGCGTCGGCTTTCAGGCAGACATTTGTTCCAAAGATTCTCCTGTGAGCTCCGTGGAGTAATCTCCAGTTAATGTGCAGGAGCAACACCAGAGGAGCAACACCAGAGGAGCAACACCAGAGGAGAAACACCAGAGGAGCCACAGCGTGTGAATGAGGACTCTGCTTCCTCCCACATATCTAAACCCACGTCACCCTCCCTCCCACCCCCTTCCCCACTGAATCCTCCAGAGATTTCCCTGCACTTGTGAATGCACCATATTCAGAGAATGTTCCGCAGGTGAATGGTAGAACCCAGAGCTGGTTCCACAGACTGTCAGAGCGTTACACTGGGTTTTAGGCACCGAAGAACACAGACGTTCACAGGTGTTGTTACAGTCAGAAAACAACCACAGTGTCTTAAACTACATCTGTTATTTGTTTACGACAGTGAACGCATCATGAACTGCATCGTGTATTATAAATATATGAATGTATGTACTGTATAAATACAAATATCAACACAGGTTATCATCAAAGACTCAGTCAAACAGCTACGTTTCTAAGACAGGAAGTAAATGGACACTCAACAGGAAGTTCTGTGGAGCATAATGACGATGAGGAAATTCACTAACGCGTCAGTCAAATAATACAGTTTACATCAAAAAAATCTGGCAGGAACGTTGTCCAATCAGTGCTGATTTTGTCAAATACATTGAAGGGAACAGACAAGGGGCGAGAGCCAATTGGAGCTGAAACTGTTGGCTAGGAGGCGGGACATGTAAACGGAGAACTTTTTTTTTACTCACCCTTTTCAGCCGGAGAAGTCCCTCCTGAGTCTGAGGATCCATGATGATCTCAAACGTTCCTTGGTCGTCTCCTTCTATGATGCCATAAGTCGACTTGCCGTTCTCTCCGATGTCTCTGTCGTTGGCCCTCACTTTCCCGCCTATTTTCCCCACTGGTAAGTCTTCAGGAATCACAAACTCGTACAAACCTGTGGAGGAAAAGACAGAGCTGTTGACACGTTCTGTTGTTGTCATTGCTCTGATACACAGTCTGTGCATGTGCTGTTATTTAAGCACACTGTGGGAAAACGTTTTAGTTTCACTGAATCTTCCAGAGGTTTAAATGCCATCATCAACTCTCAGCATGTGTTTGTTGTGTGTTTGGCTTCAACCTCAGGTCAGCGCCCCGTCATGTGTCAGGTTAGCCGAACTGAGATCAGGACAGACCGTCAGTCTTCGATTCTATCCTAACATCCGAACATTTTTATCATAATTTTTCAACATTTGACCAAAAATTAGTTTTTTGCTGAAAATTTCAATTTTTTTTTCTAAAAATATTTTCAGAATGCTCGATGAGCAACATACAGAAAAGACAATATGTTTTGGGGAAAATATTTTCATAATTTTTAAATCTGACAAAAAGGACATGCTAAATTAGATTCCAAAAAAAACCAACAGTCAGATTAATATCGTTGAGGAAAACGATTAGAGTGAAGTTCATAAAGAACATTTCTAAAATATTATTTCTCTTCTTAGATAAACTATCACACTCTCATTGACACTAAATGTGAGAAGTTCCTCTTTGCGGAGGATCATGAATCTCCAATGTATGCAGGGCCCAGTGTCAAGTCACTGATGCATTCATTCCGGGTCAAAGATGTTCCGTTTGGTACCACAGTAGAGAGTAGAAGAGTTCCTTACTTTTGGAGAACTTTGGTGGATTGTCGTTAATGTCCGTCAACGTGACAGTGACCGTCGTGGTTCCAGACAGGCCGCCCATGTGACCTCCCATATCCTTAGCCTGGATGACCACCAGGTACTCCTCCCTCATCTCTCGATCCATCCCATGAAGAGCGATTTTAATGGTAGCTGGTAGTGGAGGCAATTTATGAGACATTAATGCAATTATACACATGACTGCTAAACTCTGCAGTCCGTTTTAATGACGCACAAGCACGCGTGCACAAGCAAGATCCGAGTGGACAGTAACCTTCACGCTCAACTGACTCCCTGGGTCATAACATGCATTATTCCAGACCATTCTTCACCAAACAACAACAACGACGACGACAACTCCAGATCTGCAGAGATAAACAATTCTCTGCAGGTTTGTTCTGGGAAACTCCGGGGTCCATAGGAGTAAAGTAAAGCAGTTATGACTGAGCCGCTTCCAGCTCCCAGAATCAGCTGTGTTTGTTTTCAAATGCGTTGCTCCTGCTGTCTGCAGTCATTTGTATTCTGATTGAATGGGAATAATGCCGTCTGCCACTGTGCTGAATATAAAAAGGCCTGAGCTCTGGTATATAGGGATAATCCACTCAGGAAACACAGGCCCACAGGATCATCAAATGAATATAAAATTCCTCATAAAAACCAGGCTTCGGCGTGACACCCTGCCTTAGTCCTGAGCTGCTGCCGACAATGAGTGTCTGCTCGCTTATGATGAAATCCATGGAAAGGGATACGCCGTTGCGGCACTTGTGCTTTCCATAGGAACACAGTTAAATCCTGGGACTGTGCTCGTTCAACAAACAAAAGTCTGAGATTCACTTTGGTCTTTACCTCTAATGTGACATATCATCACAGTACAGACACAGGGAGAGTGAAAGTGAACGTGAACTCCTTGTCATTGTGACACAGCACACACCACTGCACACAACCAAATGGGACCTCTGCATTTTACCCATCACTACAGTCAGCAGGGGGCGGCATAAGCGCCCGAGGAGCAGTGTGTGGGGACGGAGCCTTGCTCAGAGCACCTCAGTGGTAACTTGGCAACTGGTGGACTTGAACCTGAGACCAAGTCTGCTTCCTTAACCACCAGGCCTCTGCATATTCTCTATATTATTATTATTGTTGTTGTTGTTGTTGTTGTTGTTGTTGTTGTACAGTAACAGTTTCTTTCTTTAAAAGAAATTCATGAAAGAGTCCAAAGATTTTCAGCAGTGTTTTCCTCAGTATGGACCTTGACGAGCAGGTGATTATCGACTGTACTGGTTGAAAAAATCCATATCATCTAGTTTTAAAATTTCAACAGACAAGTGTCAAAAAAAAAAAAACCCATTCGCCCTCGTCACTCTAACTGGAACAAACTCCTCCCTTCATTCAGGAAGCAGAAAAGTTAGCATGTTTTCCTGCTTCCTTCTTCTTGTTAATTATGCGCCCTTGTTGAAGCTCTGTGGCGCCCCCCAGAGGAGACCCACCTCTCACTTTATCTTGAAAGTGAAAGTATCTTGTTGAAACAGTTTAAGCTACGTATCTAATATTATTATAAAAGTTTAAATTAAGGCTGTGAAAATAAACCCATGGATCACTTTAATTAATTAACGAGGAATAATCAGATGAACATTGTTAACACATGAATGAAGCAACACAGATCCAGATTTATTAGAGCAGTGTTCAAGTGTTAAATATGTATGTATCTATTCTTGTATTGGTTGTTGAAGTGTGGTTGCTCTGGTCCTCTGCCAGCCTAGCTGTGGTTCAACCAGCTCTTCGTTAAGCCCTTGCATTATTTCAAGATTTTCCATTTCCATCATTTCCGATCTTCCATTCACAGAACTACTGTTTGACTCTAATGTTTTTCCTGGCAACACGCAGGCAAAAACTGTTGGAATACTGAGAGTGAGATTCCCAGGAGATCTGCCGTTTCAGCAATACTCCGAGAAGCTCGTCTGGCAACGGAACCGTGGCAAAGTTAACATTATCAGTATTTATTGATTTATTCGTCTTCCAGCGCTTCATCAAATTCAGAGTCAGAGGAGAAACTGGAGCCGGTCCCAGCTGAAGTCTGACGGAGGGCGGGGCCCAGATCTGTTTGACGAGGCCTTAATAATAATAATAATAATCTCTTTTTAATACATTAATAACCGGCCCCTGTCAAGGACTGTGACCACGATGAAACTATCTGTAGTTGTTTTGAATTTATTTTCAATAAATTAACCTAGAATAGGATTAGGGGCAATTCAGATGATTCATGATTTAAATCCAATATGTTTTCATCTTTGAAAATTGACTGACAGATTGATTTTCTTTACAGATTAAGATCTCCGTTCAGGTTTCAAGTCACAGTTCACTCTCTGGTTATTGTAGATCTAGACGGACACCAGATGGATGAGGTCACCCCGAGTGATGGAGACTAAACCTTTTACATTTAAAAATCCCGACCACGTTGTTTTCAGGACTCGTTCATGAGAAGCCCTGAACAGAGCTTCACCTGGTGTAAGTGGCTCCGCATGGTTAGAGTCCATGGTTTTCTGAAACGGATTGTGAAAACCACATAGAACAAAAACCTTTTTGATTCAGATTCTGCTGCTCTAATCTGTTCTTTTTCTTTTTCTTCAGCAGCACAGAAATGTTGTGAACTACAACGTTACAGCATTTAACTCTGTTCTTTTTCTTTTTCTTCAGCAGCACGGAAATTTAACTTTTTCACTGCCCTCACAAGAAAATTACAACAGAAATAAGTAAAAGTAACAAACAATAACGAGGAGAGAACACAACCAAAACATGATCTCTGCATAATCCACAGACCAGGTGGACCAAACTGCAGGTCGGGGACCCTTACTGGTCCATGGAGCATTTGGTACCAGGCCACAGAGACAGAATCATTTTGTTTTATTTTGAAAAATAATCACTATCGTTCTCTCATCTAAATTAATTAAAATGTAACGAAAATATATAAAAGAATTTTTCTTTTTTGCCCACATTCATAAACTCGCGTGTCGCATGAAGGATTTCCCAGCGTTACCACTGAACGGTTTCCAGAAGGTGGGTGTACACAAGTGACTTTTGATTTTCACACACGCTAGCACGCATGAACGCACACGCACACACACACCACGTGTCAGTCATCCTGCTGCTAGCAACACTTTCATCTCTGTTAATCAACTTTAATTATTGAAATTAATTCCCAATCACTGAGAGGGAAAGATCGTCAAACACTCATTTCCATAGATATTTGCCTTTTTCTTTTTTTTTTCCGCGGCTGCTCCTTAACCGAGTGATGAATTAGGGCTCCGTGTTTGTTTATTTGCTCGACGCCTTTCATTTCCAAGGTGGCATTGTAAGTGTCAGATGCACTGCTTGTTTTCCTCTTACCTATTATTTTCATTAACATTCATTAAAGCATCTGGCTCACTTGAAAGAGCCATCTGCATGTGCTCTGCAGTCGCGTCGAATGAATGCTAATCCCTAAACTGTCCGTTCAGCACAGCTTCCAGAGCCTGGCCCCAGCTGCAGATGTTTGGAGGTGATGACACCTACGGTGGCGAGGACGGGCGGGCGGGCAGGCGTTCAACAGATTCTCATCCAGAGTCGAGCCGAGCCGAGCAGAGCCGCCGTCCTAATTATGAACATCAATATTGAGACTGCCTTTTCCCCGCTTGTTTATTGCATGCTGTTTTCCAAACTGTGAGCAGCAGATTTCCATCTCATTTCTTATTAATGTAATTTCACTATTATTTAATCATATTGCTCACAGACACATGTTATAGCATCAGCTGAAAAAAAAGCAATCAAAGATCCAATCTGGAGTCTTTGTGGAGAGAAGGCATTAAAGTGGCTCTGCCTCGTAAAGACAGAAGATAGATGGACTACGGTCAGAACGCCACCTTAAAACTTCTTTAAGGTGGTCCGGTCTTTAATGAGGAACAGACCATTTGTCCTGTTCATTAAGAATTTAGTTTTGTTATTTGTATTTATTATTTCTGACTGATTTATCAGATGCATTTATTTTGTTATTATTTTTACAAGATGCTGTTTTTGTTTGCACAGCAGGAACTGAAGCAGCTGCGCCAGATATATTTCATTCAAATTAAAAACTTAAATTTTAAGTTGAAACAAAAAAATACAAGTTAAAAATGAAATTTTTCTCTCTTTGTTCTGTCAAAAAAATATCACACAGAACGGTGAATTTTTGTGTCTTGTTGAACACACACACATATATATATATTTATATATTAAACTAGAGAAAAAGCCACATCAGCCTTAAACCCCTGTTTCCATTTTCAACCGTTTGTTCCTGTGAAGCTGGATGTCCTGCAGTGACAACAACCAAACCACAGTAATGGCGCAGACTGGCCATTAGGGACACACTTCAGGTGTCACTGTCTGCCATTACCCTCAGATTGGACCATTGTGTATCAGAGAAACTTTTTGGAGGCGCCCACTGATTCAGCTTTATGGTGAGTTGTATTTTTTATTCTCTTTATGTTCGGGGTTCATGAAAGTAGTGAAGTATTTTTTTCCATGTTGGGTTTATTAGCCACACGTTGACATCTGCTCTGTGGAAACATAAAACTGTCCACTCTGGTCTGTCCACTCTGGTCTGTCCACTCTGGTCTGTCCACTCTGATCACCTCGAGTGATGAACTCAGCATTCACATCAAAACACACAAAAACAAGTAGTTCTGGTCATACTAGTAATACTGGTCATATTGGTGGTACTGGTTATACTGTCTGTTATGTTACCCGTACTCTCTGACCGTAGAGTGCACCTGGTGGTTGGAGTTGGGAATGACTTTACAGATTTGCATGAAGTCACAGTGACTCAGAGGTTTTTATGCTAATGCTATTCCTGACTGCCATTTGAATGTATTTAGCAGGAGACACGGTCAGACCTTCAAAGTCCACTTATTGACCTCCGCTGACCTCATACACTCATTTATCAGAGCCAGAGCAGGTAATGAAAGAGGACAATGTTTAAATAGTCAAAGGTTCTGGCCTCTGGTGTCCGTGTCTGAGTGGAAGAAGAAAGACCCAGGAAGAAATCCTTGGCTGTAATCAGCGTCTTACTGGAAGACAGGTTTCTCTCCTTTTTGTCCCACTATTGGTGTAGCCTTCATTAATTACATTTTGCAATACATCATGTCCAGCATTGGTTAGAAGCAGACAAAGGATTTGCACACTGTATTAATAGCTCTCATTAAATTTAATGAAGTTCGGGTTTCGATCTCAGACTGATCTTTTCCAGCTTTGTCAGGAAAACAATGAATAACAGCAGAAGGGGCCGACTGGTCCGTGTGTGTGTGTGTGTGTGCAGGCAGGTGTGTGCTTACCAGAATTAGGGTCTATAGAAAAGTAGGGCTGCCCCTCCAGTATGCTGTAAACCAGTCTGGCGCTGTTTCCGTAAACAGGATCATCAGCGTCTGTGGCTGTGATCCGGGTCACTGGGGTACCTGAGACAGGGAGACAAAGAGAGGGTCGTTGATTC